TTGTGCGGTAAATGCCGCAGGAACTAAGGAGCTCAGATGGTTCACTGCAGGTTGACACACGATAGAGACACTAGGGTCATGAGACTTCATTTGGTTCACTACATCAGCGTACACATCAGAGGTATGTGTCCTGCGTAGAGGTCAGTTCATCAGCTTCTATTTAGTGCCCCCGATCCTCTCTCAGATTGACGTTTCAACCTACGCACATTGTTACATGGCGGTCATCAGGCAATACTTGCCCGAACATTAGAGACCATTTCGATCGATATTTGCTACCTATCGGAAATCCGCCTACAACACCCGAGCTCTGTTCTCACTCTGTTATCCCCTTTAGGTTACACTAGCAGTGCTTTCTCATTGTTCCTATCCGGAGATGATGCAGCTTCGAGTACCGTCCCAGCCGGCGTTAGTATTGTCCTGATTCGCCAGGCTGAAGCTGTTTCGGTTGATTGGATTGCAATCAGTAGGCAGATGTGTGCGGTCCGACTGGCTGGCTCATTCAAAGCTTCGAAGTCAAGCGGCGCCAATAGATGTCTGTTTGTCATTGCTGCATACGCCCCAACAAACTCTACCGTTGACTGGGTGAAAGACGACTTCCATCGTCAACTGAACGTGCTCCCTCGCCACAGAAGAAGCTCGGACACTGTTGTGCTGGCTGGGGATCTGAATGCTCAGGTTGGAAAATTATCCACTGATGAGCTGCATTTTGGCGGCCAACATGATTTACGCTCTCGTAATGATAATGGTGAACGGTTACTTCATTTGTGTGGAAATGCTCGCTTATTTCTTGCGAACACTAACTTCCGACACAGCACCCGCCGGAGAGTGCGATGGCGCCCACCGGTCATTAACGCAACTCGATTACATCGCGATGAGTTATCGCTGGGGAGGCTTCGTTCGAAACTGTCGTTCGAATCCTAGCGTGTGTGGACACTGATCATGCACTTGGATGTGCTGGTATTCGTGAGACTACACATGACGATAGTGGACAGCCTATCCACAACATGTCAAACCGTTTCGAACGTTGGACTGAGCATCTTGAAAGGCAATTTAATCAACCGGAATTGTTGGCTTCCTCATTGGGCAGTAATCGCTCCGCTCCCTGGCCTGTCCCTTTGGGTTCGCCCTCGCTCAGAAGTCCAACTTGCGTTTGGACTGTCGAAATTGAGTAAAGCCGCGGGACCAGATGCTCCTCATCCAATTCAATTTTGGGGGCCCTGCTCTTGGTTATGATTTACACGAATTACTAGTGAAACTGGGGAAGCATGAAACTATCCCAACTGACTGGAGTCGCTCTGTTATTGTCCCGATGCTTAAACGTGGCTCGCTTCCGGAATTTGGCAACCATAGTGGAATCAGTCTTATCTCCATCGCCTTCAAACTACTTATCTGTAAATTTTTCACAGACTGATTTGCGGTTTTGAAAGCCAGATTCGTGAGGAGCAAGTCGGATTTCGTCAAGGTCGTGGATGCATCGACCACATATTCACATTACGTGAGTTGTTGGAGCACTGTCATATATATTGGCCGCCCACCGTTGTCATGTTCCTCGACATCAAAGTGCCTTCGATTCGGTGGATCGTCGTGCTCTTTGCTACCGTCTGCTAAGGAAAGTTGTGCCCGAGAAGTATGTAACCATCACCCGAGCGCTTTACGCGCGTAGCTCGGGCATAGTGAGGGCTTACAACAAGCTGTCGCCTCTCTTCGATATTTCCAGCGGTGTAAGACGGAGATGCCCAGTTTCACCCTTCCTTTTCCACTTCGTTATTGAGGAACTCATGCAGTTCGCGTTCATCGGACGCGACTTAGAAGGTGTGGAGTTGTTCCCGAGTGAACGACTTCTTGTCTTGGATTATGCTGATAATATTACCCTTATCTGTGACAGCTCACAAACGTGCCAAGCTGCACTGGACAGATTAGCACTGGCTGACAACCGTTTCGGGCTATGCTTTCCACTGTCAAAGTACAAAGCTTTCCTCTAAGATTGGCAAGGACCGCCTCCTACGCAGACCCTTTTTGGGGATTAACTAGAAGTCTTTCAGGTATTCAACTACCTAGACAATTATATCGGCGCCTTTGAAATCGGAGACGTGGTAACAAACCGTATAGGAGAAGTTGGAGACGCTTTTACCAACTTTCCCCATGTAGCCGGCGCATCATCACTCCCTGAAGGGTAGTGTACAATGCAGCGGTACGTTCGGCCTTACCGTACGGTTGCGATACCTAGCCCTTTAGATCAGCGGAAATGATGAGGCTAGTTACGTTCGGCCACCGGTGCCTTCGCAGTTTGGCTCACATCTGGTGGGAACACCATGTGAGCAGTGAACGTGAGCAACGCTCTGTGTATAGTGCAGGAAGAAGAAGCGAGGCGCTCAGCACCGTTGTTTCACTCACCAGGCTCCGATGGCCGGACCACGTGTTACGCATGCCAGTCCACCGACTCCAGCGAGGTGCGCTTTTTACCCACCGGAGGTGCGAAAGGAAGAAGAGGAAGGGTGGCCAAGCGTTGACTAGGTCAAGAGGAATAAAGGACCTTAGTTCGAAGTTGGTTTCGGTTGGAGCCTCTCCACTTCCTGGCTGGGGATTGAAGGACCAGGAACACGTTTCCTGGATACACTGGTAGACAAGACTAGGAGCCGACCTGAATGGCGTTTGTGTTACGAATTTCGTTGTCCTTCTTCCTCCCGTTTAGTGTCCCGCTTCAACCACGATCTCAGTTATTAGCCATAATACTGCCCCTTTTTTACAGTACAATAGACGGCTGTTAGCTCTCCGGATTGATGTCCATCCGTTATTGGTGATTCAGCGGCGTACCTCTGTTACGCTTTTTTGCGTTGCGGCACAATTGCTGAGGTGTTTTCCACCTGTGTAATGACAGTGATGATGATAGCATCATGATCACATTGCGTAACTGCTTTTTTTGGCTCGCTGCCTAGAACTCAAAAGTGTACGGTTGAGCGTATCTCACAAGTTGCCTGGCTCCTTCCTGCTTTGTCAATTTGTTTTTTATTACAATGGTTCTTAGTTTCATTAAAAATTTCATTTGACAACTGCAAACCCTGAAATCTGGATTTAACTCCGAAACTTGAATAGAACCTCGGATTTTTCTTTATGCCGCATTCTCAGTTTTATTTAAGTTATGTTTGTAACGGTTAACTGTTCCACTCTGCCTTTTGACGATGTCTGTCTTTTCTCATGCTCCATCCCTGTTCTTTTATCGTCGTATGTTACGAATCCCATGTCGAACTAGTTGTGCTTTGCTTGGATTGTAGCTATCTAAATTTAAGGAGAATCTTTCATATCGCATAACAAATGAACAACTTGATGCAGTGAGAAACACAAGGTGAATATCTTGTTGAGTCCGTATCAGCTGTCACTGTAATCAGTATTTCAATGGATACAGTGTATTCAAAGAGTGCTAACATATGCTAATATTCCGGCGCGGTGGTTATCCATGACGGCACTTGTCTTGGTGGGTACTTACTGCAAAGAAATCATCAGACATCGCTTTTCTGACTAATTGATTCGACATTGTGTTGGCGTACATGTGAACGAGGTGTATGCATACGGAAAGTACACTGCTCAAGCGCTAGAATCTTTCCGACCAGTAGTCTGGAGTTTCTTGGTGTTATCCAATGAGTTTGCCATTAATCTGAGTGCTGTTTACCTTTTCAATTCCTCATGATCTTATCCATGTGAGCATTTCGTTTTGATCAGCTCTACCTTTATCAGTTAAACCGATTTCCGTGTGTGAGGGCATTGTTGACATAACCGATGATATGCTGGTTGGTATGCCGCAGCCCAATCCTCGGCTGTAGTTTGGTCCCTAGTCGTGTCATTGTCTGGAGGAAATCATCCACTCAAAGAGCATGTGGGAAAATACACAAGGAAGCCTCCAAGTGACTTGATAACTAAACTGAAATGAAGTGGTATAGGCTTATAACATTTGTAAGTGGTATAACTACAGTCCAGTTGTTCCATGTGTAGTTTATATTCGTCTTACTGGTAGCATCCATTGGATACTCGCTCACTTCCTCCGGTCAAGCGGAGAGTGTTGCATCCTCTTTTTGTTTGTTTCTGGAACCACACGCTGTCAACGTGCGAGGTCCTGCAGGCGTGAGACAACGGTGTTGTCATTTGAATGATGTGTTTCAACCAGACGTGTCACAGTCAACCTTATGGAGTTGCCAGAGGCAGCAAAGCAGACTTAATGTTTTCTCCTTTTTATCTGTGAAGATTTACAGCGACCCCGGGGGGACACTCTGCGGTTGTTCATAGTTTTGGTCCGTTGTTTTCATCTCATACCCACCACCAAGGATGGTGGTGGATGTAAGTCAGTACTTCAATCCGTCGACCTACCGAAGGACGCACGTTACTGCTTCAATGATGTCGGCGCTTCTGAGTAGTGGATTTCTAAATGCTGTTTATGGATAATTTTTCGCCTTTAGCTCGCGACCAAAGTCTGACACCCGAAAACGCACAAGACGGCCGTCACGTACTATTGGGACTTGCCAGCAATGTACATTCCAAGGCGCCACCAGAAACCGAACCCCCCGACCTCTTAACACCAACGGTTTATGCGACTAGGTCATAGATAACGGCGGTATGCTGTCATGAGTTACAATTCAACTGTGATATAACACGGGTCATTCTCCAATGTGATGCAAGTTACGCTAGATACGAGGCTAACCCTTCGCTCAATGTCTCATTCTAGCGTATAACATTTATCGCGGTTTCTTGTGTGTCGCGTCCCATGTATGTTGTATGTTTGTTGTCGCTAGCGCTATCATTATGGACCATCGTTGAGAAATCAACATGATTGACCCGTTGGCTGCATCCCAATGGGCACCTGAACTGTGACTTACTCTCTGTTACTTGGCTCGATTTCAGTCGATTGCTGAATAACTTCTCTGGAACTGTTGTTCGACTGGTTCACGGCATGTCAATATATTCCAGCTATTTTTCCGAATCCTCCTCCCTATAAATCTCTTTTCTTTCAGACTTCCAATTTTGTTCGTTGACGCACTCGCCCAGTCTCGGCATGCGGTTTTGCGCGTCAGTGCTGTAAAAGCTCTTGGCACTGTGAGCGGCCGCCTTCGTCGTTTCCTCACCGATGCTGCACCGAGCGAACGAGCTTCGACTGTAATTGTACAGCATTTACCAACTCTCGTTGTCGGAGTGGTTGACTGTTTATCCCAATTCGGTGATCCTATTTTGGACGATGGTCTATACGCCTTGCAGGATCTATTACGCATCGATCCACAGGGCTTCACTTCAAGCATACGGAGTCAAATGATCACAATTCTAGTCAGTCTGTTTAGGAGCGTTTTCGAAGGTTAGTGGCATAATGTGTAACATGTAGCTCTCAGAGGGTCGATTCACTTCAGCAAAATTCGATTGTAACTTATCTGATTGTTATGAATTTATGGCAACCACGGATGCCTTGTCTATTTTTGACTCTTTTCGGTGCTTTGCCACGAAAGAATTTCTAGCTGTACTGAAGCGTCACTGTTGTTCTTTTGTGTATTTTTTATCAGACAGCTAACATTTCCAGCCCGATTATTGTGCCTTTTCTACTCGTTTAATGTCATTTTAAGCTGCAACGAAATGCGCATATTTTTGGTCATTTGGGACTTACAGTAAAACCTCCGAAGTTGACCACCTCACTAAGTTGACCGGTTTATTTTTGCTACCTTGAACCTTCTCACCATATAAACGTTATTGATCCAGACCTCTGTATATTGACCACTTTGGTCCAGTCTCTTGAGTTTTACTGTATATCACCCCCACTGCATAGTGGTCAGAGTCGTGTTTTGTTTTCCGGATCTAGGATGGCTTGAAGTTCGGCGACGACAGCTATTGGCTTACTATCGGACAATGAATTCGCTGCTGGTCCGTGCCCGATTACTGTCGGGTGGTCCATCTTGCCCTGTCTGTCTGACCCTGGGCACTGAAGACCACAGCGTACATCAGCCACCTATGATGTGTTTGTTATCTTCTCCCTTCCGAACTAACTATTTAGTGTGTTATTGTGCCTATGTGTGTTTGTACATATGATGTTGCAGTCATGATGCTTCTTCACCGTAGTTGGGCTAAACCAACTTAAACTTAAACTAGATCTTTTTAATGTGGATAAAATTCATTCCACTCTATTTGGTTTGTTCTGCGTACCTGGTAATCTTCTCCTAACTTGCACACGTCGCTCATGCAACCTGTGGTAAACTTGCGTAATTTTATCGCGTGGTATATTTTAAATAACTTCGGACATTCTGTACTTATAGCGGTTTCACTTATAACCAGTTTCTTCCATATGCTCATTTAGCGAGTATTAATGTCGTCATATGCATTTACTTTATTCGATGTCGGCATTTCAAATGATTGGCTGTTATTTGACACCCTGGGTGTGACTGCGCTTGATGTGTATGTTGACAAAGTGCCTACCTGTCTATTACCCACTACCTCGTCCATACTGGCTGCAGGAGACAGTTGGTCGTTGCTGGTGGGGACGGGGTGCACGGTCCTTGTGGCCGTGCTAGGCTCGAAGAGTGGTTCCATGCACTCAGTGTGGAGCGGACTACGGTCCAGCCACCGCCTTGGGTGTGCGCTTGATTCCCAAATACAGGGTGCTTGTGTTTGCCTGTGAAGGAGTGTGGGCCGGCTCCGTTGATGAAACGTGGTTCCCATCCGCATGCCTCCCGGTCTTATTCCTTCGGGTTTACACTGGATATGGGGTGTGTGATTGGAGCTGTGAGTGGTGCATCGCAAGCCACCCATGGTCCCTCTGTAGGCGCAGGTGTCCTGTGGCTGGCCACAGTGACAGGCAAATCCGAAACCGGATGCCGCCAACCATGCGTTTGTTGTTGTGCCCAATGCTGGGTTTGTTGTTTACAGCCGCAATTGTTCTTCGCTTCACTTGTGACAAGCTTAAACCTTACTCAGTGTAGCTGTACTTATCCGTGCTGATTCTCCACTATTTATTTCATCCAGACGTTAGTCACGCGACGCATTGTTTTAACTAATCGCATTACTGTGCATGCTGCTCTCATTCTTCGTTTTTCTCGGCATCACTTCTGCAAGGTTAATTTTAGTGACAACTTGTTATGTCTATCCGACCAGCCGATTTCCCGATTATCTGGCTAATGACCAGACCTTGGGGCCCATATTTTAGGGTTTGTCGTGTTGATCAAAAATGATTTTATGAAGATTAATTAGGTGATGGAACTGCACCGTTGCAGTGCATTGAAAAACAAAAGGGAAGGATGCATCTCAATCGGAAGATGGGATTAGATGTTGGCAGATGTCACAGTCAATCCTGTAGGCCGAGTAATATGAAGCTAAGCGAGTCAATCGATCCATTTACTATTTGCATTTTTTTTGTATCATTTTGTGGCTGCTTCTAGGGATGTCGTCTAAGACCTAGGTTAGGGCTTTCAGGAACTCCTATTGTGGGTCGGGCACAGTAAACGATTTCTTTGGTTTGATGACCCACTGTGTCCGGCTTATTAATCTAATGCTCGAAAGACCATTGTGTATCCATGCATATGGCCGAGACGACCACGTCATCACCACCATCTTCATTTTGCACAGTAACGTTAGCGCAGTGTTGAAGACAGCAGTGATGCTAAAGGTAGCTATTACAGCCTTCCCAGAGATTGTCGGTGGCTCTTGGGAGTGTGTGATAACAAGTTCATGCTGCTTCTGTCCATGAAGATTTGGGGACCTATTCCTGCCTTGGATAATCTAGAATCTCATCTGTATGTGCTGGGATGACGTGAGTGATACATTCACACCGTTCCCGTTACCGATTGTTGTGTTGTATCCCACTGTACATGCATCTAATATTTTCGAGAAACACCACAGACTATGCTGGCTGATAGTGGATCACTCCACCGTGCAATTATGCTTAAAGGGTTTAAACTTGCGTTAATAAATTTACCTCAATCGGAATTACTGGAAATATATTGTTTGCATGGTAGCTTTATTACAAGGTTCAAATTTGTTAGCGTCTGAGGTCGAGTATTATACATACAATACGTAACTTGTCAGGTGATGGTATTGGGTTCTCCACTGAAAGCTCTGAGGATGCTGTTGGTGACTGCGACCGCCAGCATTGCTGACTATTGCTATGAGAATTGTCTTGAAACCACTCCCGCTTCCATTAAACGGAGTTGAGTAGCTGCGCCCATTTAGGATGCTTGTAGGAATTGGCCCCGTTCTTTCTTTCAGCTATCGTTTTCTTGATCCATGGTTGTATTTGTTTGAAGTATTGTACGTAATCTCAACCATAGGTGGTTGTTCCACGACTTTAATTGATTCCTGATATCGTGTTGCATTTTCGCTGCAAAGCGGTTGCTAACCATATATTCTTGTGCTATGGTTTTGTGTTTACAAATTACCTGCATGTGGGTCTACAACGCCACGTCGCAATTCCTTTAAAGTGCCTTGCTTGTTATGCTTTCTGTTTACCGTTACCACCCGGCGGTTGCCAATCTGTCACTCCATAAGTCCGCTTTGACAACTGTGGTCCCCGCAGTGGAACGCACGGATCCTGCTGCCACAACTCGCGTCGCCAGATTAACACTGACGGACAGTGGTAGAGGAAATGAAGTTCCACACACTTGAAATAAAAGAAAATTAACTCAAGAAAGAAGTAAGCAAAAGTAATCGGATTTGTTCATATACTCACAGCTAGACGCAAGAACCCGAATGGAGAAACGCCACTGACTGCACCACGAAGACAGTACGCATCAGTCTAACGAAGTCTATCAGTCAATTTTTTTCTGCCTTTATGGCACACCAACGCGGTTTCGTCCAACTCGGTGCGGTGACGGCTTATGATGCACGTCTTGGAAATCAGTCACCGGGCCAACGTAAACGATTAAGATTCAGCAAACACTCGGGTGAGGACACAGAAGGCTTCTTGCGGTCGCTTGACACTCCACTCCGATAGGATCTGAAAGAACGTAGTGTTTTATGATCAGTTTGATCACGAAGTTGAAGAAGAAAGGAGATATAGGACAACCTTGGTGAACTCGACTTGTCTTGAGAAACTCATGAGACAGCCTCCCTTTGAGTTATACCAGCTCCCAGACATCACGTTGGAAAACGGAGTTTTTTGGCACTCCACGAGCTGACACGATGATGGTCTGTGTCTCTCTGCCCTAACACTAGATGTAGAGTAAACCTTTGTTCCATACAATCACGACGAGAGCACAAAATGGCCGTGGATTACAATGATTCGACGCTCACGACTACCAATAAGTCCTCGAAGAACAATACCCCAGTGAATTTTGGAGCTTATGGAAAGGTTGCTAATGCTTCGATAGTTTTCGAACAAAATACACTGCTGCTTTTTGAAGATGGAAACCACCGTTAACAGTCGCCAGTCTGCCCCACAAGTCTTCATTGTACCAAGTCGTATTGAATGGAGCAGAATGGAGGGAGATCGCCAGATCCTTAAGCTTTGTTTCGTTTCAACACGGCGAGCTTATGTCGGATCTCTTCCAAACCGGGTGGTCTGACATCAAGTTCGAATGTTGACTCAGATGACTGAGCGAGTGGTAGTGTTGTATCAGGCCTACTGAACTTCTCTTCAAGATGTTCCACCTAACGGACCTCGAAGCTGAGAATGAATCCGCTGTCTACCCATCTTAGCTATCGTCACATGAACTGAGGACTACTCGGACCTTTTTTCGGATAAGCTGAAACGGTGCTCGCCCGTTCCTAATAACACTGGCTTTCTCCATCTCGCGCTTGCCTGTTACCCACCATCGTTCCCCTTTTTATCCTAGAATGTTACGGACACGCTTTAACCTAGTACGCAGCGAAACCTGTTTACGTGCTTTGGTCAGATTGATTGATTCCCCCGATGATCCATACACTATGTGTTTACAGAGAACCATTGTTAACAGCTTTAGGCCCGTCAAGCGTTTGATAGCTTAGAAAAATTGCGTGTGTTTTTCGGCGAAAACCAATCACAAGTAGGAATTTGTTGGTTTGCGCTCACTTGTCCACCAACTGTCTTTCTTGTGGCTTGTGGTAGCAAAACTTTGAGAACCGGGCGGTGTCGTCCCACCGTCAGAGACAACGCATTGCGCTCCTGATCTATGCCAATTGAGCTGTGAGCCTGTAACTCGTAAACCTCTTGTCTCCCATGGCTATGTTTTAAAGCTCTGAATAGATAGTGAATCTGAGTTTGTCTGACCCTTAACCATAGATCGGTCTGATACTGGCGACTATGAATGCACTTTGTAAGCACTTCCATCCATAGCCCAATGCGTCACTTAGGTACGCAAACCATCGCACTACGTCAAAGTACAGTCTCGCGATGGCATC